CGAACTTAATCGAGCCTAAACGAGTCGAACACGAACACAAGCTCAAACAACAAAAATTCTTAACGAGCCGAACTCAAACACTACAAACGAGCTCAAAAGCTTAACGAACGAACACGAGCCTTGTTCACGAACGTTAACGAACACTTAAAATTTAGCTCGGTTTGACTCGGCTCAGATCGTTAACAGCTCTAATCCCAACCCACATTGGAAAAACAAAGAGATTCTACCATCTATAAATATAATGTGCTCCGGATTAAAGAATTAATTGGTTGGATTGTATGGGCTTAGCATTGTCATGGAAGACTCACCAATTTTTAATTTGTAAAAATCTTGATTCGGTGAAATTTTAAATTTCAATCTGATTCGTTTTATCCTGAGAAATAATCGGTGACGGAAACGCGAGACGCAAATCTTGTATTATTTGGATTTCACTTCATCTAGATTTCTTGTTTTAGGGAATAACATTTATTTCTTACAATACCTTATATAATTTTTTTTCCTCTCATAAACTATCATGTTCAACCAATTATTAAACATTCAAACGTACGAATATAAATATTATATATGCATTCATCGTGTCGTATATATTTCCATCAAAAGAATAATGTGCAAATGAGTCGATAAAAAATGGAAATATATGTATATATATATATATATATGTGATGGTTACAAATACAATATCTCTATTTCACACATACATATAGAAAAAATTATACACCATTTTTTTTTAAAAATCCAAGTGAATTATATAAAAATAATAATATTTTATTAGTTAATGAAAGTATAGAATAAATTTTAACATTTTTGTCATTTATTTTTATATAAAAAATTATTATGTGTAATAATATATTTGTAATTTAAGTAAAAATTAAAAGAATTTTAATATAATTGTGTGATTATTTTTACTGAAATAGAAAATAGAAAAATGGAAAGGATGAAAATGGTAAAGAAATATTTTGAATTTGAAATCCTACAAAATGTATTGTTTATAATATTTTTAAAATTTTGACACTATATAAAAGTAATATTTTCTCTTTCGTTCAATTGTGTGCTTAAATATTTGAGAATGAATTTTTTTAAAAAAGTGAGTAATACTTATTTATTTTTACTTTTTATAGTAAAAAAAATTATAAATATATGATGAACTTTTTTGCTAGACAAAAAATATTTTTTTTTTATATAATAAAAAACATGAATATAGATTTGAGTACCAAAAAATATATATATTTTTTAATTTAGGTATTTATAAATATCATTTAAAAAATATCATATTAAATATTTATTTTTTCTCATACTATATAATATTAAAATTTTAAATTATTTATTATTTTTAAATTTTCAAAATATTTATCTAAAAATAGTCTATATATATTCTAATTCTACAATTAAATTTATATGTTTGAAACAATTGCATTATCAAATAAAATAAAGGAAAACTCAGTGATAATCCATTTATTTAAAATTCTCCCGAACCAAATATAGTCGAATTAATTGTTGGTTATGCTATTCATTTATAGATAGTTATATATGGTGTATCATATTATTATTATTATTATTATTATTATTATTATTATTATTTTGGTCGGATGGTGTATCATAATAAGAAACAGATCATCCTAACTATAGATTTTTTATTTTTATTTTTTATATTATTTATTAATAATAATTTTTTTAAAAAAAAACATCTTATGGAATATTTATTTCCTATTATATAATATCAAATACTTATTTATTTACTATTTTATTTTATTTTATTTTTTTTGGAACTCTAAATAGCTATACTTACCATTGGCAACATATTCAGAAATGAGTCCTGTGTGTTGGTCAAATAGGACACAATATGTCCCAACATAATGAATACAATCGTGATCGTGAATAATGAAATATTTATATATATATATATATATATATTCCCTCCGTTCCATTGAAAGGTTATTATTTTCTATTTTTATTCGTCGTAAAACAAAGTTATTATTTCTTAATTTAGTAATTGTACTACCTACCTAACATAATAAATACCCTTTCAACTTACAATCTATTACACAAATGCCATTACTTTTATATTACACCATACTAATAGGGGTATTTTTGTCTTTTTTTACTACAATCCAATATAATACTAATATTAAAAAATCTACATGCAAAAAGCAAATATCACCCTTTCAATGGGACAAAATGAGTATATTTATTTGTGTTTTAAAGTTCATCGACATCTCTATTTATCCAAAAAAAATTTTGTAAAATTTTATTTCTAATTTGATACGTTCAAAAATATTATAATTTTTTTCATTTATACTTTTTTTTTCTTCTTCTTTTATCATTCTAAATATAATTTTTCAAATTATTTAAAATAAAAGATAAGAGAAAAACAGCAACATGGTTAAAAATAAAATAAAAAAAACTACTAATAAAATTATATCATCTAAAAAACTACTATCATGAGTAAACATATAGCAGCACTATTTAAGTGATATTTAATAAATAAATAAAAAGGAAAAATACCAAGTTAAGATACCCTAAAATTATTTTAATAAAAATAAAAGTAGAAGACTTAGGATGTGTTTATTCTAGTGGAATTGCAAGAATAAGATCAAATTATTATGCAAATATCATAATTTTCTTATGAAAATATACTATTTACTTTTACAAAATATCATATTTAAATTATAATTCAAACCAAAAATCAACACTATATGTATGCTTGTTTGGAGCTTTATAAGATTCTTATTATTCATCAATATTTTTTTCTTAAAAACATATTAAATAAATATTTATTTTATATTATATTTAACATTAATTTTACATTTAAAATATCGTATTATTATATCAGTTCCCTCAACTATTCAAATTCAAATCCAATAATACTAAATCTTCCATGAATTTTCAAAACAAGACCCATGTATTCCTATTAACAATGTTTATTAATTTTTTTTGTTGATTAAATAAAAAGAATAAATTTGTATAATATATTATAAATTGTAAAAAAAAAAAAATTAACACTAAACTAATAATACAATTACTAAAAAATAAATATATTATTTAGTACGAATCCGAAATGAAAAAAGAAATATTTTAATGGAACTGAATTTTGATTTGAAATAAAAATATGCCAAAGTTATTCTACATACTACCACATCGGAAATGATAGTGTTTTAATATGATTTTGAATAGTAAAATTTTAAATTAAAATAATTGTTTAATATACTCTTTTCGTCCCATAAGTAAATATTCATTTTTTTTCGCGTAATTTTAGAAATATTAGTATTATATTGAAATATAGTAGGGATAAAGTAGAAATGACTAAAATAATCTGTCATTTGTATAATATATTGTAAGTTGTAAGAGTATTTATAATGCTAGGTAGATAGTACAGTTACTTAAAAAAAGAAATAGATACTTTATTATGGGACGTACTAAAATGAAAAAATGGATATTTTGTTATGAGACGGAGAAAGTAATATAAATATATATTAATTTTGATATTTTAAATATAAAATTAAATTTTGATGTAATAAAATAAATAAAAACTAATATTTTTATTTAATATAATTTTTTTTTAAAAAAAGGGTTAGAATAGTAAAATAAATAAACATTTATACAAGTAAAAGCAACTCTTGTTTGCTTAGTCAAATATGCAATCTTAATTACAGAAACACATTGCCAGCTAAACTTAATAAGTCTGAACAATTTTTATATGTATTTTTAAACATTTACACCATTTCCAATTAAAATAAAAAATTACCAATAACTCCCCATTTATATATAAATATATATACTTTTACAAAACATATAAAAAAACAAAACAAATATTTTAAAACCACATTTACAATTTTCAATAATTTTCATAATTCTAAATAACAACAATAATTCTTAAGGAAAGAGTTGAGATCAATTTTTTATTGTTTTAAATAGGTATAATTTTCAATAAACATATATATTTTATTCCCAAAAATTATCTAGAAAAATAACAAACACGAATATTTTAATAATACTTTAATTTATAATAACTAACAAGAAAAACTAAAAGAACACAACTTAAAAAGAAGAGATTATTTCTTTACCACAGAATAGAACAATATATTTTTTCCTACTCCTTCAGCTTTTTATATTTGGTTGTCCATCAACCTTGTTTTTTATTAGTTAAATAATATCCCTACAATTTATATACATATTTACAACAATATCACTCAACAAAATTTTAAAAACAAACACAAGTGATAAGAGTATTTTTTCACTCGACCCAACTGCTTTTATATATTAAATAATATTATTATATTTAAAATTTCTCAAAAAAAAAAAAAAAAAAAACATAAAAATACAAACACGTGTATTACTTTCAAACTTTGGAGGATGATATTATAAACCCTAATATTATTTCAATACTTTCAAACTTTGGAGGATGATATTATAAACCCTAATATTATTTCAATACATAATACTCAGTCGTTCTACTTAACATTACAAATATCCTCATAATTTTTTTACAAATATCATTATAATAGTATTATAAAATATTAAAATAAGTATTCAAAAATCAACACCCAAAAAATAATTAGACCATTAGAGCCGGACCAAGGGATTATAATCAATTCTGAATTTTAATCGATTATAGTAAACAAAATAGGATGAAATGTATTATCCAATCCTAATTATCCAAAATAAACATACTCTAAAGATAAGAGTATAATGAAACTTACACAATTAAAATAGTTTCAAATCCAAATGTATTACTCCCTACGTCCCAGTGCAAAGTTGTTTACTTTTTGCACGAAAATTTTTGAATATTAGTATTATAATAGATTGTAGTGAAAAAAATAAAAAATACCCCTACTAGTATTATGTAATATAAAAGTAATAGCATTTGTGTAATAAATCGTGGAAATTGGAAGAGTATTTACTATGTTAAAATATAGCACAATTACTAAATTAAAAAATAGTAACCTCATTTTAGGACGGGCGAAAAATGGAAAATGACAACTTTTGAATGAGTCTAAGGGAATATAACTTTATTCTTAATGAATTGTAGAACATTAACCACCAACAACAACACAAAAGAAGCAAATATGTGCAAATGTATCCTATGTTTTATTTCCTACTAAAATTCTAATATATCTCATGTTTAATTTTTGCAAGTATTTTCTAACTTTCATCCTTCCCTATCTTAAGATTAGTTTCACAAGTTTGTGGGGAGTATAAAGTATAAACACCTTTTATTCTTCTTCTTGTGTGTGTGTGTGTACAATACAGATACCTAACCTCATACGTGTTAAGACCCTCGAAAATCATATGATACAACTGAGGATGATATACCGGTAATGCAACATCACAAAGCCCTAAATATAATGATGCAACATATATCTGTATTATAGACAAGGTTAGGGAGGTTGTATACGTATCTGAAAACTGCCCTCAGAGACAGAGGAGGCTGTAGAAAATGAGCGGTATAAAGGCGTTATCGAGCTGCGCTGTGTAGGCCTCCAACAGCCCGCTGGTCGTCACTGCCATGATCAACGACAACCATTGCTGCAAAACAGAATTAATATGTGAGCATAATAGATACACAGACACACAGCTGACAAGGTGCTAAATTCTTGTTTTTGAACTCAATTAGTTAAGCAAGTTGAAACGAGCAGCTCGGGTGGCCGGATGATCAAAGATCAAAACATGTAGAGGGAGAGAGAGAGGGAGAGGGAGAGAGAGAGAGAGACCGTTGTGAAAATGTATCCAGTTGCTGCAAGAAGTGGAAGAAGAAGAAAGCATGCAGCAAGGACAGAGGTAATGCCAGCAGCTGTGCCTTCAATCGTTTTCTCTGAAGAAGCAAAGGCACAATAGTTAGAATATCACAGAACAACAAATTTAAAGAAACAAACATTGTTGAAATAGCCACAGAGAGGTGGGAAATACTGCCAGTTTTGCTCCAACGAAGAACTCCATACTTGTGCCCTACCATCGATGCCTGATAACAATTAAATAATTAACACTAAAAAAATGGGGAATAGCAGAATTTAGCAACAGCAGTGCTAACATTTACGTCTACTTGTGCAAAGACACAAAGCTGCTTCACGAGATTGTGACACTTCTTCTCCCTTTCAATTCATAAAAACAAATTACCGTACAAAGAATGACAGCCAGAAAATTTACCATTGTGTCGCCAATACCAAGACTCAAAATTCCAGCAAAAGGGGCAAGTGGTCGATCAGTGAAACCAGAAGAGAGCCAAATGGGTATTGCACAACCCAAAAGCAGTGAGAAATGGCTGCATTGTGAGCAAGAAGAATGCTGAATCAAACAATGCTTTTTTTTAAAAAAAAAAGAACCACACAGCATGTAAATGACAGAAGAAATTGCACCTGACAATGAGAAGATCAGAATCGCGATGATCAGTGAAGGCATTCATGAATTGGTGGATTATATGACCCAATGGCCGGATTTTCCATATCTGCAGAGTTGATAAATAATCAATAAACAAAACATAAGGTTCCACAGGAAGCACTACTAGTGCAGAAAGCAGAAAAATTAAAAGACAAGGTACATATTTAAGTGATCCCTACAGGTACATCATAGAAAGAGATTTTGAGATTGATATCAAGTTGAAAGACTTGCAATATGCAAATAAAACCAAAAGATGTAAAAACCTAAATAAACTCCAAATAAATTTAAACCAATTTTATCCGGTAGCAGCAACTCGTTCCAAACACACATGTATCTCACCTAACGGCAATTTCTCTATTTCCTTAGGGATTGTAGATTTGTTGATTTCACCTATAGCCATAAATGGGAAAGGCACAGAAAGTTGTGAAAAAACTCAATACATTTTTTCTCCACAACCATATCCTAACTTTTTCAGAAGGTAGATCAGCAACTTTTCCATTGTCCGTAAGCCTATTGTCCCACAATTTTTAACTCTTCTAGAATTCACATGCACCTATATGCTAAATTGCTAAAAAATGAGGAATAGGTAGCCCAATGCACAAACTCCCAAAGCGTCAACCTTTCCAGCTTTAATGCTACGATATGAATAATTCACAATCTCACATAGTAGTAAAATAGAATATAAAAGGGTAGACTTGTTTTGCCAGGGCATACTCTTATTATTTCCAGCAGGAGGAACACTGCCAAAGCTGCCCCAAAAGCCAGATCAAGAAATTTTGGCTGAAATTCAAAGTATTTCAGCATCAATTAACTATAATAGATAAATGTCTGAACAACGGAACAAGATTAGTGTAGTCTTTACCTGGAATATAAGGGCAGGAACAAACATTGAGACTGCCATGAGATGATAATATTTGCGTAGAAGTATCCTGGTAGTCTTATTATTTTTTGATAGTTTATAAAATCGTCCAACTGATGCATATATGACAACCAGCCAATAGATGCATATAGTTAGTCTGTTAAGTGGCTCCGATAGAACAAAATCAAATACCCTGATAAAGAGAGCAGATGGTGGGAAAATTCAATTATCGGACACAAAATGAAGCAAACCAAAATGAATTGTCAAAATCTACCAAAGATATAAAATATCTCATTACTATTTCTGAAAAGAATCATCAGTCAAACAGTCCTCACTTGATTCATATTGGGAAAATATTATAGTTTCATAATCAATTTTCAGTAGGAGACACCAGAACATTATCATATTGATTTCAAGATGCACAAAAAGCAATCCCTGCATATATTATGCAGAACCGTTTTCACAATCCTAGAGCTAGTCATCCTCAAAATTCAATGAATGCTATCGCCTATCAGAACCACATTGGCAGGCAAACAATGCTATTTCCAGCATGTTTAAGGCAGCATTAGCAATGATGTATTTAAGTTGACACAGCTCTGTATATATCATGAAGGTTTCAGAAAATTCTAACTTCAGTAATATATTTCAACTTTTCTTCTTTATCCTATTTTCAGTCACATTTGGAGAAACACATTGGATCCCTATTGAATAAACCAGCATTTCCATTGGAACAGATTAAAGAAAAGGTATCCTCATGGCTCAGTACATTCAAAAGATACATATGTCAAAGCTGGCCCCATTTCGTATTATAATGCAAGGGGCTAATTATGGGTGGCTCAAAGTTCAGGGATGGACAATACATAAGGTACTAATCGAAGTGAATGCTTAGGTATCATGCAACACCACTTAAACACTACCAATAAGCCTTGCAAAGGAACCATGATGGCATTGTCAATTACTAATTCCTTAAGGTAGTGAATTCAACTTCCGGGAAACATATTTCAATAATAAGTTAATAACATATATTAAAACAAAGAAAATCTGCATCACTGTATCGTATATGTAATCAAAGTAAAAATCTGTCAAAATGTCAGTCATGTTTTACCGAGAAGAAAGAAAATATATAAAGAGAAAAAATGAAGAATTTTAAACCAGAATTTGAGAACGCTATATACCATATTATTGGGTGCACATGAAAAGCATGCACAAACTGCATCCATGAAGGAACCACCAAAATCAACATAAAAGTGAGCAAAGTATGGAAAATAATAGAGTTTCTAATCTCCCTGTTTCCCATCTCTCCATTGCGGAAACTGGCAAAGTATTCCCACATCCTGAGGACATTTTTGTAGAACCAGGGAAGAACGAGGAGACCGAATACCATTCCCTGGTTGAGAAGACCAAAAGAATACCAAATAACCCACAGAAATAAAGAAAAAGTAACATTTTAACTATTGAAATCAGAGGTGCTAATTGACACATCTAAACAGAAATACCTGAATAATGGTGCTTATCTCACTTCTCTTAATCCCATATCTTAATAAGGGTACCATGAATGTTTCCAGATATGAAATCTGCTAGGTAACAGACTTTGATCAGCTAAAACTAAAATAATTCATTCCTGCGCCATATTTATGAAATTTCAAGATGGTAAAACCAACTTTTGTAGCTGTATAAGCCACCATGTCTCCAAAATAAATGGCAAGCCCCAATGTCACAAGAAGTGATTCTCCTGCCATGAGAAATATATGCAATAGCTGAGAAGATAATAAGGCGGCCTTCATACAACAACACACAAATTTTTACCTATTGAAGCACATGCAGGAAACATATGTAGGATTTTCTGGAATAGTGTAACAGCAGCCAAACCATGAATAAGCATCCACATCAAGATAAAGGCCATGGAAAACCCTGCATCATCATGTTGAAAGAAGAACAGGTTGTGTTAGATCTTCCGATCAACTGACTAAATCAATATACACTACAGAGCATCATGAATGACCTTACCATCAAATTTAAATTAAGAATGCCCATCAATTGACGAGTCATTCCTAATCCCTGTGGATGATTCAGATAGCTATGCGAAAGAAAAACAACGTACTTGTTCTCTTACCATTATATTTTTGACCAGATAGTGATACCAAGCCAAGTCCTACAAAGAGGACTGCACAAATGACATAATGCATTGGAATGCTATTGGAGAGAGAACAAATGGAATTGGAGCTCTTTCCTTGTCTCTGACAGAAAGTGGAAAGGAATATTAGCACAATCAAACAGCTAGCTGATGTGGCCCAATACTGCAGTTTGAGATATTCAAGCTCTGCAGAAGAAAAAATAATAATCACATCAATATATACACATTAGAACATCAAAACAACTTAGTGTGCAATGCATCAATTTAGATGTTGCATGAGCTTAAAGAAAATTGTACAGACAACACCAGTAAAATGTCTCTAAATGTTGCCGCATAAGGCAGCAATTTATCATAAAACATACATCATGAAATAATAAATGGGATACCATAAGGAAGCCTGGCATTTTAAAGGGACATTTTGAATTAACAAGTTCGTTTGCTAATTAGGGAGTTCAGGATATACTTTTTCATGTCTCCTATTTCAGAATTGCAGAAAAGGTTAAAATATTGTGTAAACAATGACTGTACCAACTTCCTTTCTGCAGATAAGCCATATGCTTTTATGATGGTAAATTTATAGATGATTCAAGGTTTATGGTCAGTATTCAAAACATTTTGGAAAAAAAAACATCACATGATCAAGTAAGATTTTCCTCCCCAAACTCCTGGAGTACATGTCATGAGACTCTACATCCAGGAACATATCTATATTTCCTCTTAAGGACATGATAGAAAGAGCAGCTGAACTATGCATAACAAGGACAGTTAAGGCAGATATCATTTAGATCAAGATAGGTTTCCTCTCTAATTATAGAAATAAATGATGAAAACTGTCACGAAATGTACTCTGACATGTCTTTTTCGTTCAATTCAGAAGCCACACAATTTCTATATACTGAAGCCAAAAAAAGGAACTTTATGACCTTCCACTTTTTCATCTCTTGCTAATTGGATGCATATCTCTAAGAGCCTTGACCGTAGGGGACAAGGTTCTAAATATGCTCATGAAATATCAGAACAATCATTAAAACTGAGATTCAAGATATCACAGGGCTAGCATAGCATACCTTCAATCCCAATTCCATTTGCTGTATGTGCTCTCAAAATTTGTATCAGCCTTGAGAAAAGGAGGCCAGGCAATGTGACTGCCCCCAACAGGATTCCAGACGGAACTCCAGGCCTAGCATAAGTAATGTACAAATCAATTAAGAATATACATGTGTGTAGGTGGGCGCATACAACTTAATATTTTCATTTATTCTCAGGCAATACTTGCAACAACAAAGAGAAAACACTTTTTAATTTCTGCTTCGACCAGTTACAGACCAGAACCAACATTTTCTTGATTTTATAAGATGAAAGTGTTTATCCTTGGACAATTTACTTATGATAAAATAGTATGCTTTCATTAATGACCATAAATTACCTCATCAACATCTGCAATTGATTTTTTAAAAAGGAAAATTTGGACATGATTTATTTTAAGACATTCACAGTTAAAATTATGAATTGAGAAAGCAAACATTTGCAAAAAACGTATCAACTAGATAAAAAATAACAAGATAACTTCAAGAATGTGAAATGCAAATCCAAAATAGCCCTGCTAGAGTCCATAAAAGCTAATAAGTTGCATGCCAACTATGATGAATTTTCTATCTATTATGTCAGAATTTCAAGGATAGCAATACTAAATATTTAAAGATGCAACGATGAAATCAGCAACACAAACCAAAGAACACTGCAATTTACACGGAAACTCCAATTTTCTCATGGAGTGTGGAAACAAATCCACAAAAGATTGAAAATCGCAATAAACTTACAATGAGCACGAGAAAATTAAACTACTTTAAACTAATATGCATGTACATAATACAAATCTAAACTTTGATATGGATCAACACTACACTAACTATTGTGTTTCAACAAAAGACCAAATAGACATATAACAATTGTGAGCCCAATAGAGAGATTGAGATCAAGCAGGAGATGCTCGACTTTGTGAAACACCACTAAGGTTTCTAATCTCCAAGCGAACCCTCTGAACACTGTATTATCAAATTTTCTTTGAAATAGAAAATTCAAAACATAGCTAAGTGTATACAAACAAACACTGAGGTTTACTGGAGAACCAAAATTGGATGAAACCATCAGGCACCACTTAGCTCCCCAAGTTTGGATCCTCTCAAAACAACTCTCAAAATTGTGTATTCACCCAAGCGTGGTACCATAAATAAAAACATAATTGCACAATATCTACACATGGACTTAAACAATCACCAGAGATGAGAGCAAGCTGGCATTGCTCAGCATCGCGATATGCCACTAAGTACGCTAATAGCTGATTCCATAAATTCCCAATAGAAACCCATAACTTCAAAAATAAAACTATGATCATCTCAATTGAGACCGGAAATTCTCTAAAAAAATACTGGTAAATTCGATTACCTTGTCCTGAAAGAGCGCGCCAAGGGATTGGAGCCACTGTCGGCAGAGATCTCAACAAATAGAGCAAATAGAGAGACAAAAGAGAGGGATCCAGCTTCGGGTAGGAGAGCCAGAGGCGTGAAAGACAGAATTTGAATAACATAAGCCAAGACCACAGCTCTCTCACCGTTGAGCAGCTGCGGCAGCGACCGCGCCATGAATTCCGTCCCGATTTCTCCTCTATCCGGGGAACTGCCGGAGGAAGGTGATTTTGGGGATAGGGCTTCGGTCCGTCAGATTTGGCGCGGAAGGACCGAAATTGCAAACAGCCCGGAAGAGAAAGAAAAGGAAAAATAGAGGAGATTCGCCGCCGGCGCGGCTGCCGGTGAAGAAAAAAGAGCAGGAAAGAAAAATTATTAAAAACAAAAATTAAAAAATCGAGAGAAATAGAAAAGAAAACGAAGGAGAAATTTTGAGGAAGAAGAAGGACGTAGGGAGGTAGGAAGGACTAAGGAGAGGGTGGGGTTTTTTATTTGAATTAATTAGTTTACTAGTAGTAGTCGAGTTTGTTTGTTTCGTGGAATACTATGTCCTCCCATTTTAATTTTCTTTTTTTTTTTATCTGTAAAATGATAAATGATATGTTTATAACAAATATAAATTAATTTAATTAATTGATTCATTTGTTTCAGTTTAATTGACATTTTATTTTTTTATATTTAAGTGTTTATAACAATTGATACTTTTATATATTTTTTTTAAAATTATTAAATTCAAATATATTTAACAAATATAAATCATAATACAATACATAAAACTTCATTATACATCATGTAGACATGCTCAAAATCTTTTTTTCTATCTCTCTTAAAAAAATAAATATTTTTATACATTTTTAAAACTTCACATTTTTTTATTAAACTAATTTATATTAATTATAAATAAATAAACATATTTTTTATTTACTCAGTATTATAAAAAATTTTATTCTCTGCAAAATAATATCCATATTACATATATTTTTTACTACTATATAATTTTTAAAATATTAAATACATATTCTAAAATTATCAATATTAAATTAATTATATTAAATACCCTACCTTTTTTAATCATATATTAAATTTATTTTAAAATTATCAATATTATTAATTACATAAAATAATAAAATAATATCATAATTAACTATTATTAATTAATTAAACACTCTTGTCTTAAATAGTGTATTACTAATGAAGAATATCTCAGCCAGGCATAGAGAATATAATGTTATACAATCGTTCTAAATTCTCTATTTGGTGTATAGTAACATTTTGGACGTGTTTGACAATTAGCTGATAACTGTTAGCTGATTTAATTAGCTGGTTTGACTAGCTGATTCGATTAGTTATTTGTATTAAAATGTTTGGTAAAACAACTGTTTGATATTAGCTGTTTATACGTAAAATAACAATTGAGGACATTTCTATTTTACTTTTGTTTCTAATATATTCAATTATGTTCTTTTGAGTTTAGAATGTATAAAATTTTTAAAAACCTGATTGTCTTCCCAGAACATCAATTGCTGATGCAGTGTTGATGTAACACATTTAGATGCATGTATCAATCTCTTCCAAGCAGGATTGAATATGTGATGTCTGCATCCACCACGAAGAAGACAGAAGAAATCTTCTTTGGACCGACTTCAATGGAAGCGACCAACATGCCTTCTGATCTAGTCGGCTGCCCTGTAAAGCTAGTCATCTCAAAATCCACAAGAGATAGATCATGAATCCCATTCCCCAATTTTTTGAGAGTCTTTAATGGCATTACATTGAAAACAACCCCATTATCAATGAAAACCTTTGTAATTGGTTTCCCACAAACATGAGCATTAACGTACAGAGGCTTCAGATAAGACGTTCTGCCTTTTGGAATAGGAGGGAAGACAATTGGAGGACCTCTGATTGAGAGTCAGGGTCCGCAATCTTTGCCCATTCTGGCTCTTCTATAGACTCATCCACCAGACTTGCCCACAAAGGTTCTTCCCCAACCCAATTAATTTCTGTCATTCGGCAGGGGATACGTGGCCCTAGTCGAGATTTGACAGACCTTGAATCCTTCTCTGGAATTTCCTTCCCAACATCTAATTCTGGTTGAACAGTCACAGACTCCAAACGAAACTCTTCTATTAATGGATTAAAATTAACCTTCTCACAATATTGACATCTGAAACCCTTGACTCTTTCATCCGACAAGTCTTTACTTATTTTCGGCATAGACCGACCTTCCTCATTGTACCGAACATTGGTCAGCTGCTCTAAATGGGCTCCTCCAATGAACCGACCTTCCTTGTACCGAACGCTGGTCGGCTGCTCTGAAGGGACTCCTCCAATGAACCAACCTTCCTCAGCCTCATTCGGCTGTTCAAACGAAACGACCCTGATAGACCGGCCTTGCTCAGTATACTTGGCAGTGCCTCGACTGTCGTTCGGTTGCTTTGATGAGGCGACTTTGTCTCTGTATCTCGCAGCATATCTGCGTTTGGCATTCCGAATCTGAGTACGATTCATACCTGGGAAGCGAGGATCCACATCAATAGGTAGTGGTTTCTTATTTCGAATCCATTTGCTTCCGACCTCACCCGTCTTCCTGGTTGGGTGATCCCAAACTAGAACCTGGTCCTTTAATTCAACATTAAAAGAACCATCTTGATTGTCCCATTTTTCAGCCACTGTTTTTTCACAAACCTTGAGTTTCTCCTCTGGTCGGACACTGTTTAATGTGTTCCCTTTTTCCTTTCTGAAAATTGGTTGTATATTAACCATTGTTGTAGTTACTTTTGGAAATGGTTGCTGCTCCACTACCAAAGTAATATACTTGAGCCGTCCTGCCTTGATAGCCTTTTGGATCTCATTCCGAAAATGAGTGCATTGATTTGTATTATGTGTGAAAGAATTATGCCACTTACAGTATGGCCTCCCTTTGATTTCTTCCTTGGTAGCCAATCTCTGCCCATTTGGGATTCGGATTTGACCATCAGTTAAAAGAATGTCGAATATCTCATCGGCCTTTGAACTGTCAAAGGTCGGTTGCCCTTTAGCTTCTGCTCCTGGTGCTGGCTTTAATTTAGAGCAAACATAAGGTTTCCCTGAAATTATTTCGGCCGCCATCTCTTCTGTTTGATCATAATCGAAATCGTATACCTCTGTTTCCATGCTAGCCATATGTTGGCCCTTATTACGCCTGAAGTTCTGATCCCTTTCTCTGAAAAGAGATTCTAAACGTCCAGCCTTGGATGCGAAGCTTGCCAAATCTTTGACATCATATGCAGTAAGCGCATCTCTTAGACGTCCATGCATATTTCGGACCACTAAGTTGGTCATCTCCTTCTCATTGATTATAGTAGGACATCGTCCTTTCATTAATCGCACCCTCTCAATAAATTGTGAAGCTGATTCCTCTGGATATTGTTTCATTTCCAGTAAATCAGTCAGAGAAACCATTGGCAAGGGATTGAAAAATCTAGCATGAAATGCCATCTCTAATCCTTCCCAAGTTTGTATCTGCCCAGGTGGCAGACTTACAAACCATGAAAAAGCAGTCCTAGTTAGGGACAATCCAAACAGTTGTAACTTGTAAAAAGGATTGTTACCAATTTCGCCAAACTGCGTTGTGAAACGCCCCACATGCTCTATAGTAGAGGATCCATCTTCTCCAGAAAAAGCATGAAATCTGGTGGCCTGTAATTCCTTGGGAGAGGATATTCATTAATAATCCTTTCTGGGAACGGTCTCTGATAAGCAGGTCGGTTGGCCATCTGAGGATTTAGACCAAACTGAACCCTCAATACGTGAGCAATTTGATCACCCAAATGAAACTGTTCATGATCAGGGATATCAATGGGATTTTGCATGGGAATAAGAATGGAATCCTGTACGTGTCCCCTTGGCCTTTCCTCTCTTGTAATGTTCGGTTGCACATTTTCAACCCTTGGTCCCAAAGGAATATTATTTGAGAAAGTTAGAGGAGTCTTTCCTCTATCTGTTCGGTTGAAGTTTGTGGCGTTTGGAAGTGTGCTGTCCACATATGATGGCCCAGCAAAATTCGCTTGCATCCTTGATGGTGACACCCCTGGTGGCGTCTGAGTGGGTTGAAGAGTAACCATTGACAATGCTTGATCTAACATGTTCTGCATAAGATTTTGTTGCTCGCGCAACATGTTCTGTATAAACACATTTTGCTGATTGTTCATTTGTTGAACATAAGACAACCAGTCGGTAGGCGGTTGGGGAATCTCCCCTGGATTTGGCATGACTGGTGGTGAAACATTTTCTCCCACCGGTGCTGATGATGATTGAGGTTGTGTGCCTGCCATATTGATTTTTCTGATGATTCGGCCAGACCTCAGTCGTATGAAATTCTCTGGTAATGTAGGATCAGCAATATTGCCTTTCTCCCACTGTGGTCGCCAATTTGTTGATGTATTTTTTCAACAAACAAAAGTAAAATTCAAAGATATGGAAAATATCTTTAAACTTGATTAATTAGCGCCTGAGATTAAGAATCTCTAAATACTGTACGGTACATAAGAAAATTAACTGGAAAATAAAATGCCGAAAATTTTAAAGTGGTGATCCCCAAATCTGACTTTGCTTTTTTTAAGTTGAATGAAGATGCCTTCTCAAGAAAAATCCAAATCCTTAAATACTTCTTGAGGAATTGTATTGCAAACCGCCTGAATAGTTACAACGTCTCTTTTTCAACCGTCTGCCAACCCCTCTCCTACTGACACGTGTCCTTAGCAGACCAACATTATCACTCTATTCCACTCTTAACAGCATCCGCCTCTTTGGGCCGACCGCAAACCTTCCGCCCTTTTGGTCCGAACACTACTCTTCCACCTTATTGGCCCGACTACCAATCTTCCCGACTTGCGGGCCACCCGACTTGTTGATCCAGTCGCAAACCTCCCGACCTAAAGACCATCCGACTTACTGGTCTGATCGCAGACCTCCCGACCTAAAGACCATCCGACTTACTGGTCTGGTCACAGATCTCCTGACCTAAAGACCATCCGACTTACTGGTCTGGTCACAGACCTCCCGACCTGAAGACCTTCCGACTTGCGGACTTTCCGTCCTGAGGACTTCCCGACTTGAGGACCTTCCGACCTGAAGACTTCCCGTCCTGAGGACTTCACGACCTACAGACTTTCCGACCTGAAGACTTTCCGACCTGAAGACTTTCCGACCTGAAGATCTCCTGACCTGAAGACTTCCCGACCTGAAGACCTTCCGTCCTGCAGACTTTCCGTCTTGAGGACTTCCCGACCTACAGACTTTCCGACCTGAGGACTTTCCGATCTGAAGACTCCCCGTCCTGCATTCTCCTTAGAAATTAACATATTTTCCTTGAGTTCCCTACGGTACCCTTCAGCCAGTTCGATCAACTCTATTACCAAGCTCATTTTTCTTTTACCTTGGGCTTTTAATCTAATTATAAATTTCATACGTAACAAAAATTATACAAAAAAAACTCAAATTGAAATAATAGAGGATATTTTTTATGTTGCTCGCACTATTATCTACGTATCACCTAAAAAATATTCTCAAACTGAAATATTAAATAAACAAATTCAATATTTTAATTTAAATTGTATTTAAATATATTTAATTATTTTATATTTTACATTATTTTTAATAAAAAAATGCTCTTACTATATATTTTTTAAATGAAAATACATTATTTTCTTATAAAATATGTTAAAAAATAACAAAAACAGATGATTTGTTTATTCTGAATGATATTTTTTTATATGAGATATAAAAAATTACATAAACAACAAGTGTGTGTAATATATTATTTTTTTAAAAAAACTTATACTTTTATTTATTTATTTGACAAAACAAACAAACCAAATGTTTTAATAAAAAAATTCATAATTTTCGATAACACAAGTTTTTTTTAAAAAAAAAATCCACAATACAATTAAATATTTTTAAAATAAAATATAAATATTTTTAATTGTCAAATTTTTTTGATGCTGACTTGGAAATTATGTATATAATAAAAAATAATAAGTATGTTTGGTTATTAATTTTTTTGAAAAAGAAAAAACACAAACCCTTACCTTGTCGATTTTTATTTAATTTTTAGTTGTTTTTTTTTTTAAGAAAAAATGCAGCATTAGTTTGGTTCTAATTTAAATTTAGAATTTAAATAACATTTATGATATTTTGTAATAAAAAGGAAATATATTTTTATAAATAATCATATTAAATGAATAGTATTACTTTTATTAAAAACACAAACACAACGATTTTTTAATAAAATATTACATTTATCATTATTTAAATAAAAATTTAAAATATAAAACTCAATCTAAACTATTTTTATACCCCCTCCCCCTCTTTTTTTTTTAAAAAAAAAATTAAAATTTTATTTAATATTTATTACGAGAATAAAATTTTCTATAATACAAAGTAAATAAAAATTTAAATATATATTAGGTATAATATAAATTCATAATAAAATTATACAATATAAATTTTATCGATTAAATTTAATACAAATTTATATTATTTTATTCATTATCCATCAAATCAATACACATCAAAACTCCTCGAACCCCAACCAAACCTAAACACAAAAGAAACAACAAAATCGAAACTCATCCCAAAATTCAAATAAAACCCAAACTCAAACCCAACTTTCCTCGAACTACGCGAAAGAAACATAAATGTAGTAACTGATGTTCAGCTGATATAATTTATGTAAGAAATATAAATAAATAAATAATCTGAATATAGTAACATCTGATGTTCAACTCTAACCAGACTATTTTGTTGATAATCAGCCAAGGCACTACACAGACACAAACATAACAAACCAACCCAATACACCCAAGTCCAGATTATCATAACAGTTAAACTACTTCATAATATAATATTGTATATATCAAAAAAAAATTAGTGTAAGTTAATGATTTTAAAATCTAGAAAATTCCACACACATCCTTAACTAAACTAACCAAACCATTTGTAAGATGATATAAATGATATTCTCAACCAACTCTACTGAAGTAGCAAAGGAAACTACAAACATAAAAACTGAAACAATAGCATCTCCAAGGTGGAGTCTCTTAAAATTTAATTATTTTTTATTTCTTATTTAAAATGTGATTTAAATGTGATGTTTTGTATTTTATGAGAAAAAACTTCAAATAGAACTTAAAAAAAAAGACACACATGATAAGGCTAAAATAAAATTCCCTAATCAAATGGTATGGAACATGCATTGACCATGATACATCCCACCCACTGCCAAATCACAAACAACCGTACCCATATCATACCAAAATTGATTTAGGGAATCTATTATCATATCATAGGAGGTCAAAAAACTAAAATCAAATGCCATTTATCTCATTCTCTAGATTCATACATACACCTGACCTGATTTGATCTGGTGCTTGCTTGTGTAACGTGAGCACGTCGAAAATTCCTCGGGTCAAGGTAACTCAGTCGTGCATGTCCTGAAAGCACAACACATTCAAATTTGTTAGTTTGTATGTGAAGTGATGACGAGGATATGGAATCGCGCATTACCGGTCTATGAAGTAAATACTAGTTGTTCGCGACCATGTCGCTAACTGCTGGATTTTCCAACTTTTTGATGCACAATTGGTTTTGTGATGGTGCATCTTTGGTGCCTGCTGTCCTGTCGAGGACAACTGAATCTTCTTCAGAAATTTCACCTCTTAAGATTCCCATTGCAACCTCATTCTCCACCATCTGTTGTATCACCCGCTTTACAGGTCTGGCTCCAAAGTTAGGGTCGAAGCCCAATGTGGCCAGCAGTTCAATGGCTTCCTCCGTGTATTGAAAGTTTATGTTCTTCTGTTTCAGCCTTTCTTTAACTCGATGTAGCTGTATAAAAGCATATTAACCAAATTACAAACAAACGGTAAAGGAAAACAAAGGAGCATCAGCGTATGAAAGCTTTGCCCGTTGCCCATATAATGCCAAAAGTCATACACAAAACAACGTTCAAGTAGCTAGTCACCCAACCCAAGTAACCATTGAATGAGCTTTAATCAACCATGGCATATCCTAGTGAAAAAAATTCACATCTTCTGTAAAACTAAAAAAATACACTATAATAGTCATCCAAAAACCACCCCAAATTTACACTATTTAATTAGCTTTTCCTAGGAAGTTCGTGAATACCTCTACCTTACAAGAATGATATGCAACTTACCATAAAATAATTGAATAGTAGAAACCTATAAATGTTACTGCAAAAGATAATTAAAGTTTACCAAGGAATTTAAGATTAAATGAAAATTTATTTTTCTTACCTGAATTTCAACAATTTTCTTGATTTGTTTGGAGTCAAGAGGCTGGAAAACAATGTATTCATCAATCCGATTCATAAACTCCGGTCGGAAAGTTTGTCTTGCAAGATCAACCACCTGCCTTTTCATCAAATTATAAACAGCATCCTCGCTGCTATCCTGTGCATTCCTCAAAGTTTCAAGAATATAATGAGATCCAATATTGGATGTCATTATAAGCACGGTATTGGTAAAACTAACTGTCCTTCCTTGAGAATCCGTAATCCTTCCATCATCCAACAGCTGTAGAAGGATGTTGAAAACATCATGATGAGCTTTCTCGATTTCATCGAACAGAACAACAGAATATGGTCTACGCCTCACTACTTCTGTAAGCTGTCCACCCTCTTCGTACCCAACATATCCTGGTGGTGCACCAACCAGTCGAGAAACTGCATGTTTCTCCATGTATTCACTCATATCAATTCGCACAAGTGCATTCTCAGTGTTGAAGAGGTAACCCGCAAGAGCTTTTGCAAGCTCGGTTTTACCAACACCGGTAGGACCCATAAACATAAAGCTTGCAATTGGGCGGTTTGGGTCGGAAAGGCCTGCCCTTGAACGACGTATTGCATCAGCTACTGATTTGACTGCCATGTCCTGCCCAACAACCCTTTCATGAAGTACCTTCTCCAACATGACAAGCTTCTCCCGCTCTGTTTGCTGCAGATTAGACAGTGGGATGCCTGTCCATCGGCTTACTATTTCAGCAATATCAAGATCCGTAACTTCCTCCCGTAACAATGACTTTCCAGATTTGCGATAATCAACAAGGCTCTTTTCAGCTTCTTCAAGTTGGCGTTGGAGGGACATGAGTGTGCCATATTTTAATTCAGCAGCACGGTTAAGATTGTATTCACGCTCGGCGGCTTCCATCTCAAGGTTAACTCTGTCAATCTATTGTAAAATTACGAAGGGTAAGACTAAGGACATCTTAATCTGGTCATATAAATCAATCCTAGGCTCCTAGCAAATCCAAAGTTGGGTTATTTGTTACCTCTTCTTTGATAGATCGGACTCGGTTCATGAAAATTTTCTCATTTTCCCATTGCTCGTTTAGCTCTCTTTGCTTTTGTTTAAGAGCTCCTAAATCATGTTCCAACTTGCTCAACCGGTCTTTAGATGCTTTAGCGCTGTCGTTTTTAAGAGAGAGCTTTTCCATCTCCAGCTTAAGTACTGCTCTGTCAATCTCGTCCAACTCTGTCGGTTTGGATGTGATCTCCATTTTCAATTTGGCAGCAGCTTCATCAACAAGATCAATGGCTGGAATGGAAAATTTACAGTCAACTATGAACACAAACAAAACAATCTAGACTGAAAATTACAAACAACTCGAGAATATTATGCTAATCCAATACTCTTTTCTAATATAAAATATAAATAACTCAACTAGATCACAAGGGCAATAAAACTGTGTATTTTAACATGAAATTATGTGAAGGTATATATCACTAGAAGGTATTGATTAGAAGATCCAATTTTGGTTTTATATTTCACTACAATATAGTTTCATATAAATGTGTGGTAGATGTGATAAAGCCTAAGACACTTGCCTATTATATTCTTAAAACTATGAACAAGCTTTCAAAGTCACACAACAGTGAGCACAATAACATAATTTTCTAAATTATTGGACATTCCAAGATCAAATGATAGCTGCTGTAAGAAATCATACTAATTTAAGTAACTGACAAGTATATAAGGTATGAGCCATGATATAGAATAAAGAAGGAAAAGATGAGACATATATTCTTCAAATTCTACTAAAAAGACCATTCCTTCAACATCGAACACCGGAATTGTCCCGCATCCCAACCCGAAATCAGCTACCCATTGAAAAAAAATTAAGCAACGAAGATTACATCTGCAATGTGCTTAACAGTATGCATATGCAATATTGATGTTGTTTTGTGGGTGCTGTTTGAATCAGAGAGTCATTTAAATGACTCATGAAAAAACTAATCTAATAGCTTGTATTTCACTTTATTTCGGAGGGCAATAGCCGCAAATAAAAAAAAAAAACAAAAAAGCAGTCAAAGGTAATTGGGGAGTCAAAGGTAATTGGGGCAGGTTTTATCCAACGTTAAATATGCATACTAAGAAATTTATGATGAGTCTTCATTTGTATGTGTAGTCATATTTCATTAAATACGGTAAATTTCCCAGACAAACACTATTTTGCTTTCACCATAGCATACCTTTGTCTGGTAGAAAACGTCCAGTTATGTATCTATCGGAAAGAATTGCTGCTGAAACTAATGCACTGTCTGATATTTTCACCCCATGATGCAGCTCATAACGTTCACGCAATCCGCGCAAAATTGATATTGTGTCTTCAACAGAAGGCTGCCCACAGAATACTTGTTGAAATCTACGTTCCAATGCAGGGTCCTTTTCTATGTATTTCCTGTATTCATTAAGTGTGGTCGCCCCTATGCATCGGAGTTCCCCACGGCCAAGCATGGGTTTCAACAAATTTCCAGCATCCATAGCACCCCCTGTAGCCCCTGGAGATAAGATAGGAAATTGTTTTATCATCATCAAAAGATTAAATGTTGACAACAGAATACAACACAAACAGAACATCCCTATTTGATCAACAAAAGCGCTACAAATACATAACATAAACTTTAGAAAAAATTCACAACCTGCACCAACAACAGTGTGAATTTCATCAATAAACAATATTATCTGTCCATTCGAAGCAGTGACTTCCTTTAAAACTGCTTTCAGCCTTTCTTCAAAATCTCCACGATACTTTGCACCAGCAAGCAAAGAACCCATATCCAGAGAAATTAGCTGATGACAAATACAAATGAAGCAAATTAGGTGAAATAAGAGAGAAATGTATAATTATGTTCACCACATTCCAGAAAGTAGAACTTGGATAATGTAAGGTAAAAAGAAAACACAGAGTCTGACCCAGTATCTGGGAAGGCTAGCATGTTACACGTATTAAATACTAGTATCATTTGTATTGGTACCTTTAAAATATTATTTTCATACGAAGGTGGTAAAGCAGTAGGATTACTGAAATAATATGATGAAAAAATACTAGACATGGTAATAATTGACAGGAGAGCACACAAGAATGGAAAACACACACACAACAGCATTAGTTCATAAATGTATAGAACAGTTACAATAAAGACGGTAATGCATTGACCTATAAAAACAATTTCTTTAGTTTATACTGATGCTTATATTTAGTAATGCATAACAGTAGAACCTTTCGATTTAGTAGAGGCTCAGGAACATCTCCACGAACAATTCTTTGAGCTAACCTGCATATTTCATGGCATAATTTTGAGACAAATTGTACTCTAGTTTATAGAAAATCACTATTTGAATCACAGAAATTGGTAGCTAAATTATTAACAAAGTGCATCACATGATAATGGACAAAAAAAAAAAAAAAAGAACATCATTTGAAAGGAAATATAATGCAAATAATTTCTTCAACTTTTGCGGAATGGGTCATGACTGAAAGTACCCTTCAGCAATAGCAGTTTTCCCAACTCCAGGTTCCCCAATTATAACAGGGTTGTTCTTTGTCCTACGGGATAAAATTTGAATGCACCGCCTTATTTCATCATCACGTCCTATAACAGGGTCCAATTTTCCACGTCTGGCAAGTTCAGTTAAGTCACTCCCATATTTGTCAAGTGCCTCATATTTTCCTTCGGGATCTATTCAAGGAACCAAAAATTTGATAAGGCAGCAAAACCAAGGAGATGGGAAATAGTAGCATTCAGCCAATGCAAATCAATAACATGCAAGCACCACATAAACTAACAAAATTTATTAGCCATGTAACAACACTGTATAACATGAATCACATAATATATCTAAGGTTGGAATGTTTTGTCTTGGTTATGTTTTCAACAGAAACATACAAGTAGATGAGTGACTATAGCAAAACTTCGAATAACAAACACAAGCAACTGGAACAAGTCACTTTGGTAATCAGTTCAGCATTTCAGCCTAACAACCCCAATGTGTCAAACATGTTGAACTCAAAACAGTCTCCATAATGCTGCACTAACTTTACACAGAACAGTATGAAATAAAATGTTACAGCAATGGTAAAATAGATCTCCAGTAACTAGTTCTACAAAGTCTGAATATGAAAAATACAATGAGTAACAATCTCTTATTCCATCCAACCTTCATATATAATAAAATAACATATTAAATTTTCAGATGGAATTTAGCATTCAGCTGAAAACCTAGAAGGATTATCAAGTACATTAGATATCGTGCTACATTCATATCTGCAAAATGAAACTTCTGCATAACCTTTGTCACAAGGTTTAATAGGACTGAAGACTAAATCAAGCATTCCTAAGGTTTTCTTTAGAAAGGTACTTATCCCGTAGTTAACACAACCATAATGCTGTATGTTGAAAGAAGATACTAAAAAATGCAACGAACAGACATGTCACCGTGCTTGGTGACCTAACTCATTAAGTACCCTACAATTATTTCTTTCTTTCTCTTTACTACCCAATCCTTCTTAACTACTCCTGTAACCTCTACTTCATTATGCAAAAACATGTTTGGAACATAAATAAATTGCAGACTCATTCTCTAGCATGAAAATTCACTTTTGTTTATGCCTGGAAGAACACACAGGTGATCTTTTTCACAGTTAAGATGGTTTCACTTACTTTGGTCAGTTACTCTTTGACTTCCACGAACAGCTTGGACAGCATCCTTCAAAGTTTGCTCACTTAGTTGAAGATTTTTAAACAGCTGTTGCCCAAATCTCTTATCTGATGTAAATGACAATACAAGATGCTCGACGGATACAAAAGAATCACCCATTTCTTTTTTAAACTTTCGTGCATTGTCTAGCAAAGAAGCAAAATGTGATCCAACAATAGGCCCTGTTGTGTCACCTGAAACCTGCTAGCAAAATTTACAGCAGAATTTTTTAGGATAACTTCTAGAAGTTCGAATGATACGCAATTGCATGCAAACTATACCTTTGGTTGTTGGGATATGAAATTATCAGTAGACTGCAAAAGTGAGGTGTTGTCAACTCCTGCCTTGGTGAAGATTCTCCTTGCTAGCCCATCCTTTTGCTCCAAAAGAGCTTTCATGAGATGCTCGGTTTCTACAACTTGATGCTTGCTGTCTCTAGCAGCATCAACAGCCCCCACAATTCCATCCCAAGCCATCTCAGTGAACTCTGAGTTACTAATCTGTAGAGTTGAATGCAGTAAATACATTGAAAAAGTTGGGATTACCTTTGAGAAAACAAGATCAACTTTGCTTTCAAATTTTCATTTCCATGCTATTATACTGACCGCACAAACTATACAAGCACATTTCGGTGAAGTGGTGGAGATGATTGTGGATACTCTATTGGAAACTAGATATGTTTTACACTACACAGTTAAGCTTACTGTTCTACACAACAATAAGCAGTTTTTACTTCATTTTTCATGGATGAGAGTAACAAGAGACGAACGGTTTAACATCTAATATTTGAGTTCTGGTTTCTAAAAATCATAGGCAACATATAATTTGAGCTGATTTTCTTATAATAACACAAAAAAAAAGATTAGATTCATCTAAAGATTGCCATGGCCGCTCCCAAAATTTTGTACCGACTCCCTGCTGTGTGACTTATTCGATTAACAGCCGAATACAGAGTTTGTTCTGCATGTAACTATACATTTATAAAAGCATTCACCCTCCGACGATACAAATGTTTCACAGAGTCGAGCAAGCGATAACAATCAACGCACCTGGCTGCTAGCAGCAGAAGTAGAGTAAGAGCGAGCGAGGCGAGGGCTCGAAATGAAGCGAGTGCGGCATGTAGTAGATAACGGACGCGTCTGAGCACAGGAGAATCCATTCTCACTATCCGCACGAGGAGAGACAAGAAAAGCAGCGGTCGCCGAGCGCGCCGATTGGCAGGCGGTGGATAGCGTCGGAGCCGGGGAAATTTGAGAGCCAGCGGCGCGCGACACACGGAGTGCTGCAGCTGCCGCCCGAAGCCGCGCCATGGTTGAGCTTCTAGAAGCTGCCATCGCCAGTCACTAAATCAACTACAGAGAAAGACGATGATGAAGAAGAAGAATTGAATCGATTTTGTGCTATCGGTTCCCATTATACTCCATCTGGAAGCTTTGAGAATTATGCAGAAATCGGTAGAATGTGATTTATTTACTGTTATACCCCTAACATAAATGAGTCGAGTACTTGACCGCTATCCAGTATTTTAGGGAATTGTTTGACTGTACTTCTATGTTTTTATGTTTTTATTTAATTCTTCAACAATTTTTAAATATTAATTAGTTTTTTTTCTAGTTAATTGGTTCGATAAAGAGTTTTAAATATTTTTAATTCGTAAATATATATAGTAAATTAAATAATTGATTAATTATGCCAAAAATAGTACTGTAGTTGAAATTAAAATAAATTCTAAAAAAATACAAAAAATCTAAGTAAAAAATGCAAAATTTATTAAAATATATATACACAGTTAAAAAAAAATACAAAATACAAAAAATATTGCGTACAAAATTAGAGAACTCCCAATAAATACAGTTAATACCTAAATTTACAGATTACAAAAAATTTACAATTATTGTCTACAAATTATATTTCTCTAAAAAAAAAACAGAAATTTAAAATACATTTTGCAAATCACATCACATTGTGTACATTCACCAAAAAAAGTAAATTTAGTTTTGCAACTACAAAGAGGACATTAATTGCAACTCAAAACAATTTTTAGAAACCCAATAAGTGTATATCATTCCAATAAAATAAAAATGTCAAATAAACACCTACAAACAAATGATAACCATAGTCTCATCTAATTTATCTTGGACAGGTGCGATTCATTTGGAGTGTGGATTAATGATATATTGCGTGAAGCAAAAATGTCAAATACACACCTACAAACAAATGATAACCATAGTCTCGTCTAATTTATCTTGGACAGGTGCGATTCATTTGGAGTGTGGATCAATGATATATTGCGTGAAGCGGCGGAATGACCGGAGCTGTTCAAAATCTCCACCAAAACCGTTGCCAAACAATGGAAAGCTGCCTAAGAAAAAGGATAAAATGTAAGGATTTTATTGTAAAAATTAAAAAAAATAAAAAAACAAGATGATCGATAAAATTAAATCTAATTTGGTTTCAATAATAATAAAAACTATCTATTCTGCACCGTTCATCTATCAAAACTATAGAAAAAGGAGTCAAATTCTCAAAATCCACAGTACACAAATGGGTAAAAGAGAAGCAAATAAACTTCATACAAATGCAGTTAAGCCATAATTTACCGAAGGAAACAAACCTGCAAGGTTAAGTTTTTGCTTAGACTCGGTTAATGTTTTCCGGTACATTGAAAACACAAAATTTAATAGCATGCATAACATAGTACATATTAATGAGAAATAATTTTACATGTAAAAAGCTAGAAGGCCCAATGTTTTCTCGATTTCTAAGTAGAAAACCCAATGTTCTCTCGAATTTAATGTTGCACCTCAAACAGGCTGATATTTTACAGCATATAACCATTTTTTTTTGGCAGATCATCCCGTAAAATTAAAGAGAAGTGGTCGGATAATTTTGTAAAATTTTATTCATCCAACAAGATAACGCCAAACCCTACATAAAGGGAGATGACCTGGATTTTCTACATGTAACAACATCGGATGGTTTCAACATTGTGCTAACTCAACAACCACCTAATTCACCCAACATGAATGTGAATGATTTAGGTTGATTTCGAGATATACAAAGTTTACAAATCGAGAACATGCAAGACAGTTGATAAATTCGTTAATGTTGTCATTACAAGTTTCAACGAGTTGACACCCAAGACATTAAACAAGATATTCATTAAGTTTACAAAGTTGTATAATCGAAGTTATGAAACTAAAGGGATCTAACTGCTACAAGATTGCACATTTGAAAAAAGACATTATTTAGGAGTGATAATCTACAAGATCAACTAATAGTTCCAAATGGATTTAGTTCATCAATGCATTCACAATCTTATTGAACAGGGGAGGTGAGTTAGATTGGAAACATCATGAACAATTTAGGTTATTAGAGTTACAAATTTGTAGTTGAAAATTATTTTGTGAATGTTTAGGCTGTAAATCATTTTGGCTGGGTATATTTGGGAAAAACTCACACAAATGTAGTTGTAAATAACTTGTCGAATGAGATGCAGTTTGATAAAATGTTTGTTTCTTCAAACGAACTCAATTTGGCACTTAACGAATTGAGTTTTAATTTTGATGAAAATTTTTTCTGTACGAGTATATGTAGCTTCAAAATTGCAAATTCAAGATCAAACACTGCACATTTGAGTTTATATATGGACAATTTCAAATTTCAGCAACATCGATTGATCATAATTTTCAAACTCGCACATACAGAGCACACATTATAGAATGTAACAAAACATTTACCCTTAATAAAGAAGATTCATGGCCGATAACTTAAACAATCCATGAATTTGCAATATACTCATTTACCACAAATATATCACACAAATCATCAACAGTTAATGTCACAGAGAGAAAACACAAAAATTACAGAATCAGGGACGTAGCCTATTTTCACCGAAGTATCGTCATTTTTTGTCACTGCGCCGGCAACGCCTTTTTCCCCGGTTGCCTTTTTGGTCGCAATATAGGGCACCAAGGACTCCTTGGTGCCCTCTTATCCAACCCAAACAAAAATTCTAAGTCCAAACTCAAATTGAATGGCTCTTCAGTGTCCGGAACCCATCCGTTGTTGCCGGAGTTAGCGGCCAGCTACTCCCCGGAGTACCGAAAAGAGTCGTCGTTGGACTGAACCCCAACAAAAAAGGGTGAACAGATCGAGTCATGTTCAACCTTGATATGATGACCGGAGATAGAATTGGAGATCACGAAGGAGAAACCACAGTTTGGACACCGACACAATGGTGTTGGGGGTGCTTCACTCGACTATGAGTTGTTTATCTATAATAGATATAATCCGGTGTAGGTTGGTATCCTTTAGGTTAGGGTTTAGAGTAAACTCATCCGACTGAGAAATCAGTGGTTGGGGAATGAACGATGAGTCTGGCACTCGACGAATGAGGGTCACAAGCTGGCTCAACAACAACCGGCAAGGTTCTATGGTAGCAGCGAAAGGCTTACAAACAAGAGGTGAGATCGCGATGAGATATTTCAGGACATGGGTGGGTGGGGAGGAAAGAGGGTGGGTGGGAAAGAATGAAAAGGGGTGAAGTTTATTCGATTTTAATTTTTAATTTTTTGTTTATATATTTTGGGTATTGTTTAAAAAAGATGGGTGGGTGGGAAGAATGAGAAATGGTAGAGTATATTCGATTTTAATACATAAACGAACATAACAATTTTGGATGAGTAGTGGATTTCATTGGATCAGAAGCTTTTGAACAGACGATCGATCATGACTATTGGAATATGTTAGGAATCAGCTTATTTAATTTGTTAATATGCTTTTCATTTAATTTAATGTATTTGCTTGCAGACCTTTATTTTACACTCATGTATTGTAGGATTTCATTCTTGTTTTGGATAAACCTTTGAATTTAGGGTGCGACAGTCTTCACCTTGGTTTTTAATTTTTTCAGGGGATGCCCGAAAACATGTAGAGAACTATCAATAATGTACTAATGCATTGCTACATTTTTTTATTTTTAAATCAATGCATTGCTATATTCATTTCGTCACGGCTATAAAATCAAATCCAATATATTTGCTAATAGATATTAGTCCCCGATGGAGACTTTGGCATAGCAGCATTGATGGCATTAAGAGCAATTTAGCCATTAAGAATAGAACCATGTCCAGTATATTGAAGTTAAGATCACAAAGTAAAATTTTCAAGAATGCAACATCAATACAATATCTAATAGCTTGCTAGTAGTCTCACAAACAACACAATGACGTTTATCTAATAGTGTCAAAGCAAATTAAACAGTAGCAATCATAGAGGTACTGACAAAATTTTACTCAAGAGAACAAAGATAATTTGTACGATTCATGATTATGACCCTTTAAATTTTCACCATAAAGCTTTAACGAGGTTGAGCAACTCAACATTACCCAACAATTATAAACATGGATAGTTAATCTTTCTTTCTTTCACAACCTTATCAAAAAATCTAATTTAAACAACTCAAGTATGAATATGAATATTTTGGATGATAGTGAGGTGAAAAAATATGATAAGAGATCTTGTAAGCTAAAATAATTGTAAAAAATAAAAGAAATAAAACTAAAAAACTAATATTATTAAACTAAGTAAAAATATGAGAGAAAACATAAAGATGTGTTGTGTGTTGTGTTGTATATATGTACAATGAGTGGTAGGATGGGGTATTTATAGAAGAAAATAAAACTTCTGAAAGTTTGATGGTTACAATCATTTATAAATAACTTTCTATAACTTCTAATAATTACTTATCATCTTTAAGATTTTAAAATAAAAATACATAAAACTACCAAAAATTGACTAAAATATAGGTGCCAGAATTAAATACAATAGCTGAGAGAATGCATGCAAAATTAATGTTGCAGTGGAAAGAAATATGATACAAAGTTTATGTTATCGTTACAGTCATAAATGTGTCGCTACAACGATAAATGCTCGCTCATAGATATTGAGATTTATTGTTCATTACAACCATAAATGTGTCACTCAAACTATAAATAGTTGTTTGCTCACTTTTATGTACGGATTTCCATCCGCTTCACTCACTCCAATATTCGCTCAATTTGAGATGAACTTAATGTTACGATTGACTTTTTGCTATCATTGACTTTGACCGTTGACTTTTGAACCGCCGGTTTAGGCGGGCTTATTTTTATTTTTATTTTTAAAAAAACTAATAATTATATACTTCCTCCGTTCATTTAATAAGTTTACATTTACCTTTTACGTCATTGTACTTAGCATTGAAAATATTCTTATATTTGTATAATTTTTATATAAACGTTCTTCTATTAGTATTATAAGACACTAATAGAAGTATTTTTGCTTTTTGTTTTCCTTATTGTACTACGTTCTGATATAATAATTAATTCAAAGATCAACACGCAAAAAGCAAATGTAATCTTTCAAAATGGATGGAGGGAATATATAATATAATGTCTAAACTG